GAACATCTTTCTTTTACCTCACTTATCACCAAACTCTGCCATAGACTAAATTCTACTATATAACTTTTCATCCGAACTCGTAAATTTCTCAACCAATCAACAGCTCTCCTCCTATATAACTTATTAGTTCAACCCCATATTGATTACTGCTGTATGGTGTGGAGTTCCAGATCTTTCCACATTACCAAAATTGGAAAGCTTCAAAATAGAGCCATTCGAACAGTCCTTGAAGTTCACCCTCACACTACATCTAGTTCCCTTTTTAATACCATAAAATTATGACAGTTGCACAACGCATTCAATACCAGCTTGGCTGTTTGGCTTTTAGAGCTGCTTCCATTAATACTGCACCTAACTACATATGTCGCATGATGAGCAGGATCCAGTCAAGCAATCGTCCCACAACACGTGCAATTACTAACGGCTATTATTTTATTCCTAGACCACATTTAAAAACTGTTCCAAATTCTATTCGTTTATGTACTACTTTTGCTGTTTTTAAACTTAAATTTAAACAGTATATTCTGTAATTTTCTTTTTTTATCGTTTTATAACGTTTTTAATTCATGTATTTCCAATTTTTAAAAAAATTATCATTTATATCTGAATTTTATAAATGTGTGTAATTAAGTGACTCTTGTTTTTATTCTTGTATTGTATGAGGGCCCCTATGATCAGCATTACTAAATGGGTCACCCTCTTAAAATGTGGTATTAAATAAAATAAATAAATAAAATAAAAGCCTACTACCCGACATGAAAAAGGATGCTTTATAGAATCAAATCTAAAATTACGTTTGTAATGTTGAATAAATGACCCCTGGTCTGCTGAGTACATGTTAAATTTGAACAATTTTATAAACTTGAACTACGTGTACATGCTATGCCCATAGTTGATTTGCTTCATACAATAATTTTAGTGTGTGACTAATTCGTTAGGTTTCCTTAGCTAAAAAAGCCTCTTAATTCCTCTTCTAACAATCTCACTAATATTGTTTTTTTTAATCAATTTATAAGTTCAATTTTATTTCGCTCAAATGTTAATTGTGGCTTTTCATTTGATTTCTTTCTTAAATCCCACACTATTTCTTTAGTCTTTATGATATTTATCTTTAAATAATTATTAATGCCAAGTGGTTAAAAGTTCAAATTCATTTTTATACACAAAATCAACAAATCATATTTAACAAGACAATTATAGCCATACCACCTGCCATAGGCTTACTTGAAAAGGCTTGAGGAAAGACAACACTCCTGTGGTGCTCTTGGACATAATATAATAATTTATCAGATACGGAGCTCCCTACCCTCCGACACTGGGATCAGTGAGAGAAAATCGCAAATCTAGAGACAGATTTGGACTTATTATTATTATTATTATTATTCAAATATGCGGTTGTATTAAATTAATAGCCGAGAAACAATAAATAAATAAACCTCTTGAGAGTATGTTTCTTCTTTGTCAAGATAAGAACCCACACGATGGAGCTGGCTTAGTATGACATGAGTAACTGAGTCCGCGGTCACTCTGGTAAGCGAAATACATGGCGTCAGAAAAAGTACTACCGGGTGCGCTCGCCTCGCTCGCTTACCTTCTAGTATGTTAAACATCGCTATTAGTTTTGATAAAATAGAACAAAAAAATCATGACCACTAAAAGAAGATTGGCCTAATTACAGACGGAAATACCCACAAATTCTACGGAAATATATCACTGGACCTAGACCACTAACGTCCAGGTTACGGTATTTCACCTAGACAACTCATAGAAAAATGTGGTGGTGAACGTTACGCATTTACTGTGTCCATGTTTAACTTTATTAGTAATGTTCGTGTTAAAATATGGTAAGGTACACTTTTTTTTTTATAAGAACCCAGGTTGCATTGCTTAAAAATTAAGAACAAAATAAGAATAAATTGATTCTGAGTTAAAATGTCAATTAAAAAAAAAAAAAAATAACTACACAAAAAACATAGGCCTACCCAAAGATGGATTATGAGTGGAAAGAAAATATTTCCGTGAGGTTTGACCCAAAAGAAAAAAAAAAAAAAAAAAAAAAAAAAAAAAAAAAAAAAAAATGGTTGGGCGATTGTTTTTGTGTAGGAAGCGGAAGAACAACAACTTATTTTTTTAACCCTCCTTGGTCAAACCACAGGAATCAAATGCCTGACACTGTAAACAATGTAATGTGCTCAAAATCAGCGAAAGCTTCAGTAATAACGACAGTATAGAAGTCATTATTTTTCCTCAATTAAGCTCAAAGATGGAATTATATTCACTTCGTGAGCTCAAGACTTTGATGATCTATGACTTTGATGATCTTTCAAATGAGCACAATTATAGATCAAATGATGGCTAACTACCTTTTCTAAACATTTCATAAAGAAAGGAAGGTAAAGCTACAGGGCGAAAATCATTATAATTAAGGAAATTTTACGATTAGTTGATTTAGGCACTGGTGTAATCTCGGACATTTTCTACAGTTCTGGACCTGCGCCAGCCATTAACGACTACTCAAAACTGCCTACTGAAAATAGGTGACACAGCAATTTTCACATTCTCTAATTAATTTCCCAGACATCGGTCTGGTTCCTATGCTTTATTTACTTAAACCTTCTCCATGTAGATCAATTGGATCATACCAATGTTTAATACACTGCGAATTATACAATCTTCCTCTAAAGCTGTGTATTGAACTGCGCATACAACAATTTTGAACCTCTTAGAAATAATTAAAGGACTAGGCCTAAGTTTACAGCAGATCTGTCCACCAACAATTCAATTTAGAAAACCTCAGCACATATTTACATAAAGTGGAAACAAGCATGTTTCTGATGGAGAGCTGTCGCTTACTAAAACTAAAAATTGAACTTCTTAAAAATTCGAAAAAAAAAAAACGGAATGCCACAATTACCAAATGTAGCACTGGCGCCACAATATCTTGGCAACTTTAACACAATTCTGAGCGAGTTTATAACAAACTTGAAGGGATCTAAGGGTTGTTTTCTTATGTTTAGCCAATAGAGCAGAACAATGCACACTTATAGACCTACAGTAAGATCTGAATAATCCCAATTTGACATTTTCAGAGCAAAAGGAAAATGTTATACAAAGTGTGTTGCTTCTTACTGGCGCTATATCAAGATCATCAGTGGTATCTGATTATATGTTTATATAAATATTATGCGTAAATATGTATTTAGTAAAATAAATTAAAATTAAATTTAACGAAAATATCGAAGAAGCATAAGAAAAAAGAAGAATAGGAAAGAAATTTGGAACTGCTGAAATATTTAACGAAAATAAACAATAATAATCATTTTGTCATTATTGCATCACGTTTTTGTGAAAATTTGTTGGCACTAGTCGTCAAAGGTCAAGGGGCCGGCAGCCTACATGTTCCTTATATTCGATATCGAACGTTTGATATGCCAGGGTTTGTTATTTGCAAATACCTAGACTCTTTATTTTGGGATTAACATATTTTGGTAAAATTGTTTACATTTCGACACTAGCTCAGCGGTCTCATCCAGTGACGATGATTTTCTAATGAATATAATAAAACCCCTATTAAGGGGACATCTTAATGTCCCCTTAATAGGGGTGTCCCTTGTATAGGGGTACAACTATGAAGAGGAAACTAACAAAAAAAAATGAACTTGTTCCCTTAATAATGGTTGTTGGCATGTTTTCATATAACCATAGCATACATTCTTTATAATTTTTGCTTTAATGACATAAGATTCAGTTACAGTAGAATTAGAACAAATTTATAGCAATAATTAGCAAGGCAAGATGTTTTTATAATATGAAATCTACAGAAATGTAATCAAAACAACAATAGTTTTATACCGTATGTTCCCAATCTTATTTCGATATGTAATGTTATTGACCAAACATTCTTTTTTTTTTTAATTTTTTAAAATATTGAACTTTTTATTGGATAGTAGAATGAATAGAGTAACGATTTAGAATTAATGGTGCATGTTATGTAATTGATTTGAATCCTATATGAAAGTACAAATGAAAAGAAATTCCCATGGTTATGGGTCACAATTGACAAAATTGGTATAATACGGATTAACATATGCAGTTAAGACTATACCGATGTTAACTTTAAGAATTCAGGGGAGAAAATTCTGGTTTTATTGCTCAATGGATCTCAAAATATAAAGTTGAATGAATTTTTCTTATTTTCAGACTGCTGTGTTGTTGTGATACAATGAAAAAATTGTCCCCTTAATAGGGATTATTTGACCATTTGGCACACTCAGAAAGTGTCCCTGTCCCTTTAATAGAGATGTCCCTTAATAGGGGTTGGCCACAGTGTTAAAAGAAATATTGCCCCTCGTTTCACGAAAAGTGTCTACTTAATAGGCGTGTCCCCTGAATAGGGGTGTCCCAAAGGAGGAGTTCTACAGTAAATCATTAAAAGCCATTATCCAACATACCCACTTTGCATCTGTAGAAATGAAAGTTATGCATTTGCGATCAGATCTCCCTATGCTTGACTTGATATGAGTCTTAAAAGCATCCCTTATGTTTTTATAGCATTGATCTAACACACGGTCCTTTCTGGTGACCGATTTAACGTACTAACTCTTACTCCATCAAACAGGGTTTAACTTACGCGCGTTAAAGTTTCCAAATATACAATTTAGTGCATCAGGCGAATCCCTCTAGTTTTCTCAGAATCTTTGAGAATTTTTAGCTACGACTTACTTGTCTGCTCCAGCATATATTATGTCGATTTTCCTGGATTTTTCTCAGTGACACAATTAACACTTTAATATTCTCTGAGCAATACTGTTCCTTGATGGATATGTTATTGCACCAAAAAGCCAATTCCTAATTTGAGCTATGTATGCTCGTATCAGGGTCAATCAAAACAAACATACACACGACATAGGTTTATGTTATTTGACATTCGGGAATACGCAGTTTACTCCAGTAGACACTTCCTTTTCTTGTTCTAGATGTGTATAAGAGACAGACCTAATATTGCACACTTAGCATAATTAAGAATCTTTCGCGTTACAGGATTCGGTTTAAATCAGTAACTTTCTTGGTGATAAATTATTTGACCCTCTACTATCCTTAGCCAGGTCTTTTCTTGTCCAACCAGAGGTATTGAAGCAAGGTATCCAAGAACCTTTGTGAACAAAAATATTTGAAACAAAGAAGTCTGAAATATTGTTTTAAAGTTTGTATGGTAAATTTTAAAATAGAAAATACTTGAATACTATGTAGATAGTTGAAACAACTGTTCTTCCCAGACCAATCTACATTGATATACTGTACTGCAAGCATTACCAATAATGATGCAAATACTGAAAAATATTCACTATGGAATATAATATTGCAAACATGGACAGTTAGAGATTTCTCTATAGGGAGTGGCACTTACCTTAAAACACATATTCATTCCGTTTTATTACTTTTGATATGCAAAATATTAAATTAAATGTTGTGTAGTAATTGCCTGGGTTAATAATGGACTTTTTAACAACTTAACTTTTTGCTAAGTAATTAGGAACAACACCAAACATGAATGGTTGGAGAACAAAATATGTTTGAAAACAAACTTTAAAGCACATCTTTCAATAATAGAATGTTGTTTTTTTTGTTGTTTTTTTAAGATTTAAATACATTTTTCTCTGACAGCATCATACTACGAAGATAGGTGCCGTTTAGCGTTGGAGAATATTTAGCATGTTAAGATAATGTTTACGATTAGACTGTCCCCAATTAATTTTAACTTATTAATCACCCTTCGTACAACGACGATTAAGACAAATGCTGTGACTTATTAGGTACCCAAGACTTAATTAAGAAACAAATGGTTAATACTGTGGCATAGTAGGGTAGTCACTTACTGATGTGGGATAGTGGAATTAGCAAATGTGCGGTATATATTCTTGTAAAATAATTTTTTTTATATACCTTTTTACTGCTTCATCATGGCTGCTCTTCCATCAGTTTTGTACCAGGAGACAAATAAATACACATTCAATAGTTGGTTTTTTTCCCAGTGTCTACCACGAACAATATATTGCAACAAACATGACTTCCTTTCAATGGATTGAAAACCTGAAAGAAATACCATATTATTTATAGTTAGACCTATGCACACAACTAAATTAGACCCATATCAATTTTTATATTTATATTATTAATTACACTAACCGTAGCGTTAAATAATGTTAATATTATCATAAGATATTTACTGTAGTTAAATTTTCTCTTTATTAAAAGAAAATATAAAAATTTACATTATTAACTTTAACAAAAATAGAAAATGATTACTGATGACACGACAGTGATATGGATATTATACCAATGGCATTATGTAGGCCTATGATATAAGATGAATTATTAAACACAATATGAATAAATAGCTGTTTTATTTTTGTGCTTGGTTCATGCAACCACATTTTAACATTATATTTATTATAATATAGACCTATTACAGCATTTCAACACAGGACGTGGCCATTTTGCAAAGTTAAGTCTAGGCCTAGGCGATTAAAAATTACCGCTAATAATTAAAACTTAGCCCACACATCCAACTTGCAGTCTAGCCTAAACAAGTAAATAATTATGCTAACTATGCTCTTGCACTACCCAGGGAGTAGTTATAGTGACTGCACTACCCTACTCTAGAGCTACTACTACTAGGCTAGGGCCAAAGGGCCTGGCTGGCCTAGGTTATCCTAGCTAAAACAAAAGATAACCAAATATATAAAACAAGCCTAAACAGTTACGATATTGGGCTAGCCTAGATACACCCTGTAATAGTATACAAATATAAAATTCTTACCATTTATTTGATAGTGCTGATAAATTCTGTAGTATATGTAAACTGTGTATGAAGCCAACATACAGCAACTAAATACAGTACTTCAAAAAATTAGCATTTGCTTCTGATTGGTCTGTACCTAATGACCTAATCCGATTAGCCCGTTACTTGCCACACTTTCAAGGACGGAGAACCACAGGACCGGCCGCACCGGTTGTCGCCGGACCACTTTTTCTCAATTCCATTACTTTCTGAAATAAATATATAATGATAATTAAAAATTATATGAATGTACGCATCGCATTGACTTTTTCAATCATGGTACGATGGCCTATTATAAGACTAAAAAATAGCGACCTAAATTAGACTCTACCAAATCAAAACTGCTGATTTTTCCAGGGCTTTTATTCCTGCTGCACTGTGACCGGGCATTTTTCGGTTTGATTCCAGATTGAACTCACTTCACTTTAGTCTGCATTAGTTTCTCCATCACTCTCAAGCATGCCAACACCTACATGAACATCATTACCGTTCATCATCATCGTAGACGTCATCGCCATCGACATCATCATTATTATCACCTTCATCATAATCGTCATTGTTATCATCATCCCCTCATTATGATCATCATTAATTCACATTTTTTCTGGGCATCAAAATAAACAAGGTTTAAAGATGTATTGTCTCTTGAAAATGACAAAAAATCATAAAAAATAATTTTGAAATTAACTTGTTCATTTTTGCAGTAGCACACATATTTTTAACTTGAGCAAAGAAATTATTGAAATTCAAAAATGTGTACCTTTATTTTTAAACTGGATAATTATAATAAAAATAATGAAACACTTCCATTGGCTGGAAGTGTTTTTATCATTTTTCTTTGTAAAATGACGGGTAAACCTTTTTTAAATACACTAATGTTTATATGTTCAAGTTAATAATTTTATGTTACTTAAAATTTGGCAAGTTAATTTCAAAAATGATTCAGCGGCATTGTGCCCCTATCCACTTAACTGGATCACCTTAATGTTAGTACTGTACTCTGTTATTTATTTATTACCAGGGTAGATCTCTCCATGGAAGTATACGTGCATGGTCTGTCTGCATGAATATACTGAAGGTTAACTAAAATTAATGTGTAATCGGTATAAGGCCTACCAGAAGCAAACACAGCACTTAACTTATTTTTTTTTTTTTTTTTACAATTATTGATAGTATATAACTTCTAAAGCGTGACCAATAACTTTTTAATGTTCCATGCCGAACTTGCAAGAATAATTAAAATTGTACGAGTAGTAGGCCTAATGTTCATAACATGTTGGCTGCAGGTCCATTTGTGTGGCAAATAGTATCCTGTGTTTTAATTATTGCATATTCTGTATATTTTTCATAGCTGAATACCCTCCACAAAATACATTTACAGTATGTTATATTCATTTTTGGTTTATGCATTAGTATGTATTCATGTTTCTTGCTCTTCTGGAGGAATAAGCAACTCAAATTATCTACTTATGGCAATGATAAGAAATACAATTTTTAACAATATTATTTTCTACAGCTCTACCAGCTGCTATTTCATGGCATCCAGAGGTGCCATATTTCCAACATAGACTTTCATCCATGCTAACTTTATATAATGTGGCTGCCCCTTGAGGGGAAGGGAAAGCGGCTGTAGGTTGCCAGCATCTGTTTCCAGACATTCATAGGCGCCAAACAAGTTGTTTACCAACCAACCAACCAAGACCACAAAAGGGCTGTAAACTCCCATCAACAGGTTTCGAGAAAAAGGGCCAATAGACAGTATAACATGAAATTTGAACAAAATGTGATTATATCATAAATATAATAGTCCGGCAGCTTAGCAGATGGATGTGGACGTTCCGGACAAAAGCACTAATTTTTTTTACATGCTCCTTATGGTCATAGCATTCAATTTTTGGTAGGAACCACCTATGTTTATCTATATCTCCGCTTCTAAACCACTTGGAATTATAATTCTAACGTCTGAAACTATTGTTATATGATCAAAGAATACAATCATACCATTTTTGACCTGGTCAGATTGCCACAAATATGTCATTTTAGGCCATTCAAGGTCAAATATTGTATGGTATCTTAAAAATTACATAATTGTCATATTTTACATTAGAACCATACCCAGACTCTCAGAATTCAAAATCTTTACAATGAACTACAATATTTCATTCGAGGTCATTCTGGCGGCCATCTTGAATTTCAAAATTGCTGCCACGCAAATCCTATATTTATCAATATATGGATTTTTAAACCATTTTAATGATAATTAGGCCTATGATATCTAAAATTATATTTCATGGGCAAGGATTTATAACACTTGTGAAATGGTCAGATGGTCATTAATGTCATAAAAGGTCATTTAAGGTCATTCAATGTATATACCATACCATTACCATTTTTTACCTGGTCAGATTGCCACAAATAGGTCATTTAAGGTCATTCAAGGTCAAATATTGTATGGTATCTTAAAAATTACGTAACTCATGTTTTAAATTAGAACATTAGAATCATATCCATACTTCTCAGAATTCAAATGTGTTACTATGAAATATATATATATATATATATATATATATAATATATATATATATGGTATGTACAATTATGTATGTACAGTTTTCAGTGAGATTAATATACTTTAAATTAATTTTTATATACTTTTATTGTCATTAAACTCACTGTATTAAAAAATGTCTTTATATATATATTATTAGATATACAGATAATAAGGTATATCACTATATACATGTATATATAAACCTATAAATAAACAAATAACAATAAGCATTGCTTTTATCATTTACCTATTGACAATGTTTATATATATATATATATATATATATATATATTCAGTTGACATTATAATATATATTTTTTATGACGGATTAACAATATTTAAATTAATTTTCAATTAGCTGACTATGAGGGCTGAACGTCTACATGACATTATATTTAGGCGCATATATAATATAAAAACAAATAATAGAAAATAATTTTAATTTATATACTTATTTAATTTAATAGACCAATGGGATAAACCCATTTTATTAATAATAATGTACAATTTAAATGCAACAGAAGAGGGAAATCTGATCCGAATGAAAAGGAAACCTTGCCTCCACCAGGACTCGAACTCAGCACCTTTTTCTTAACGTGCGAAGGTCTTACCAACTCAAACACAGAGACCTGTGGTCGAGATACATATTTATATATTACAAC